ATCAGTTTTTGACCGTGGAATTGGGGTACAATGTAGTGAGCTTTCAGTAGCACATCTGGTCACAGTCCAAGCGCCAGTTGGCTGGGGTGAGGAGGGCCCAGGAGAAAGAGACACAGAAGCCCCAGGCGTCCTGTTGCTGTCCCTGGCAGGGGCAGCATGCCTCTGATGTCAGGGGCCCTTAAGGGGAGAGACTGCACAGGGCTGGCCACGCGGCTTCAGCACGCCCGGCCTCCTTAGGCCCTCAGGTGCCGCGGGCAGGTCTGAGTGCACCTGAGGGCTGCAGTGGGCTTCCTCACGGTGGTTCCATAATGCAGACACGCAGCTGCCCCCGGGTTCTATAGGAATGCTGCCGGCAGAACACGCGTGTCCAGCAGTAACAGCCCCCCGAGGTGTGCAGCCCCGCGCTGGCGGGAGGGGCTGCATACAGGAAGCATAGAAACTCCAGAGCCCACATTAGTGGGTCCTACACGAGTTTTCTCGCCCGGCACCCATCTTGTTGGCAAGCTGGGGGTCGGTTCTGTGCACGCAGGCCCTTCCCAGTTGATCCCACTGTGGGGGTGCTCCTTCAACAGGCAGCAAGCAGGCAGCTGCCATTTCTTCAGAGATTCTTGGGAACAGGCGTTTGTGAGGGTGTGACCACGCGCTGTGTGTGTGTGTGTGTGTGCTTTCTTTTCCTTTGTTGCGCCATAGTACCAGCTAAGCGGCTTCTCACACAGGCAGAGACTAAGGAAACTCTAGCCACTTCATCTCTGGCAGCTCCCTCCCTAGATAACACTTAGGGACACCCAGTGGGACACCCCTGTTCCCCAGTCCACCCTCAGTGGACGTCCACTTCTGACACTCTTGCTTTCATGGTTTAAAGAATCCACAGAGAGCACGTAGCGGTGAAGGTGCAGCTGTCTCAACATGAGGGGTGTGTAGTGAGGCGGGTGCTCAGGGTCCCAGGGGATTTCAGAGTGTGCCTTGGCTGTGGGTGTGAGCATGGGAAGCAGGGGTCCTCTTGCTCCAGGGAAGGTTGCGTGTCCCTTCAACAGCGCGAGGAAGACTGTGGAATGCTTTGCTGTGCTGAGTGGAGACAGGCTTGACACACCCAAGGCCCTGACCTTTTGTGCCCTGCAGTTAGGGTGCTCCCGGCTGCAGGCCACGGTGCAGGGCCCAGGCAAGGTCGCCCCAAGTCTGCTCCACTACTGTGCCTCACTGCACTGCCAGCCTGGGGCCAGCCAGGGATGCGGGGCAAATCTACCTCTGCCCCTCGCCCCAGGCACTGCTTGGCATACAATCTGGACTGGCTGGATTCTGGGCTTCCTTGCCACCGTGCTGCTGGCCTGGAGCCTGGAGCCAGGTGACTGTGTAAGACTCCAGGCCGCTCTTCCTGCTGCAGGTTTCAAAGAGGTATACAAACAGATCTGGAAGTTTGAGAACCAGTACCGCGGCAGAGAGCTGCCAGGGTTTGTGAACTTCAGGACGTTCGAGACCATCATAAAACAACAGATCAAAGCCCTGGAGCAGCCGGCGCTGGACATGCTGCACACGGTGACAGGTGGGTGTGGACAGGGGACAGGTGGGTGTGGACAGGAGACAGGTGGGTGTGGACAGGGGACAGGTGTGTGTGGGGTGGACAGGGGACAGGTGTGTGTGGGGTGGACAGGGGACAGGTGGGTGTGGACAGGAGACAGGTGGGTGTGGACAGGGGACAGGTGGGTGTGGGGTGGACAGGACAGGTGTGTGTGGGGTGGACAGGGGACAGGTGTGTGTGGACAGGGGACAGGTGGGTGTGGACAGGGGACAGGTGGGTGTGGGGTGGACAGGGGGACAGGTGGGTGTGGACAGGGGAGAGGTGGGTGTGGGGTGGACAGAGGACAGGTGTGTGTGGGGTGGACAGGGGACAGGTGGGTGTGGACAGGGGACAGGTGGGTGTGGACAGGGGACAGGTGTGTGTGGGGTGGACAGGGGACAGGTGGGTGTGGGGTGGACAGGGGAGAGGTGGGTGTGGCGTGGACAGGGGATAGCGACAGGTTTCATAGCTTTGTGACTTCCTCAGCTCTCTCAGCACACAGCATGGTAGATGCACCCAGCACTGGGCCAAGGATGGGAAGAGCGAGCAAACCCCATGAGCATTCCCAGGGAGCTTTGAGGGAAAATTGAATTTCCACAACTTCTGAGCCCCCAGACCACTGCGTCTCCCAGGGTCCTTCACCATGCTTGGGGCTTGGGGCTCCAGGCTCTGAAAGTCTCAGCACCATTCATACCAGAACAGCGTTTGCAGGACACAGGGCCTTGTGCTAGAAAACTGCAAATCCAAGTTCACAGATGAGGCGTCTGTACCAGTGCCAATGTGGGGAAGCCACATGAGCTCAGCTTTCTGAGTCGTTTCCCCGTAAGGTCCAGAGGGTCCCTCGCGTGTACCTGCCAGGTTTAGGCAAGAGGTCCCAGGGCCAGCAGCATGGGACAGGTGGGACCCCTTGAGGAGCAGAATGGGAAGGGAAGCCCTGTGACTGTTGACTGCCGAGCAAGCTTGGACCATGGATGTGTGCTGAGCTGGACAGTGCGGGCGCTGAGACCTGCGCGTGGCTCTGGGCCGTGCAGGTTTGATGATGAAAGGCGAATGGCCTGAAACTGCCAAATATCTTCATCAGGGAAATTCCTCATACTTGGGGTCCAGGCTGCAGCCTGGCAGGGCACGGGGAGCACCTGGGTTCTCCCCACAAGGTCAGGGCCGGGAGCCAGGGGCTCTCCGCTGCACTGCCCCCTCCCCACGTCTCATGCCTCCTGCTTCTCTCAGATCTGGTACGGGAAGCCTTCACAGAGGTCTCAGAGAAGAGCTTCCAAGAGTTCTTCAACCTGCACAAAACCACCAAGGTGAGGCCCAGACCCAGAGCTGTGGCCAGCGGGAATCCCGGCCCCCATCTATCCTCTGGGCTGGGGGAGCCCTCCTTGAGCCCTCCATGAACCTAGCCTGGCAGCCTGAGGCGCCCTGGTGCCCAGTGACCACCTCACGCTAACCCCGGGTTCTGCTTTTCAACTGCAGAGCCAAGCAGGAGGCTAACATGCGTCCTTGTCCCTGGGCTGCCCTGTTGGCCAGGCCGCCTCAGTGCATAGGAGGGGGTGGTACCAAGTCTTGGCTTGTGAGCAGCATCCACATGGGCCCTGGTCATGCTGGTGCCTATGCCCACCCCTGTGCAACCAGCTTTTCTCCAAAGGACACCTGCCCACCTGTCTTGTCCCCACAGGCCAAAATCGAGGACATCCGCTCAGAGCAGGAGAAGAAGGCGGAGAAGGCCATCCGGCAGAACTTCCAGATGGAGCAGATGGTCTACTGCCAGGACCAGGTGTACCGGGGTGCCCTGAGGAAGGTCAGAGAGAAGCAGGCGGAGGAACGCTCGCAGAAACCCACTTTGCAGAAGAACAAGTCCACTGAAACCCACTCTACAGAGGAGTCTGCAGTGATCGAAATCTTGGAGCACCTGTTTGCCTACCACCAGGTGAGCTGGCAGAGCCAGGGCCCCCGGGGACTGTCCTGGGCAAGCCCTGTGCACGGGAACTTGGCAAGGGCAGCTCAGCCAGCAGGAACCAGCTCCTGGATCAGCCACAGTACAGTGGGGTGGAAGCACAGCTGGGCTCAGGAAGGCATGAGAGAAGCAATCTGGTTGACCAGATGCCTCATGACTCAGCCTGGCCCTCTGAGGGCTTGAGCTGTGGCTATGAATGGAGGTCTGGAAGCCCCCACAGCAGGCCTGAGCTGCAGCAAGAGGCCACCGCAGGCAGCGCGGCTCTCGGCCACGTCACAGGCGCGAGTGCAGCCAGGCGAGGGGCCGCAGGGCTGCACAGCTGCCTCTGCTCCTCGTAGCACAGTCCCTGGTGGCTCACACACATGAGAGTGTGAACAGGCACACTGGGCACGCAGCACAGCTTCAAGGACCAAAAAAGAGCCATGTGTCTGGCACGTCCCAGGCAGCTGGTCACCCGCAGCCTGCTGCGACCCTCACAAGGTGCTTTCGCCCCTGCCCTGAGCAGCACAGTCCATGGTGGGGAGAGCCGCCCCTGACCTCCCCATCCTCATCCTGCTCCCCGCCCCGCTCATGCCAGTGCGCTCTCCCTCCCAGGGCGCTGACCACACCTACCTTCTCCCCTGCTAAGCCCCGTGCCCGCTCATGCCAGTGCGCTCTCCCTCCCAGGGCGCTGACCACACCTACCTTCTCCCCTGCTAAGCCCCGTGCCCGCTCATGCCAGTGCGCTCTCCCTCCCAGGAGGCTAGCACGCGCATCTCGAGCTACATCCCTATGATGGTGCAGTTCTTCGTCCTGCGCACCTACGGGCAGCGGCTGCAGACGGCCATGCTGCAGCTGCTGCAGGACAAGGACACCTGCGGCTGGCTGCTGAAGGAGCGCAGCGACACCAGCGCCAAGAGGAGGTTCCTCAAGGAGCGGCTCTCACGGCTGGCCCAGGCCCGGCGCCAGCTCGCCAAGTTCCCGGGCTGACCCAGGGCACCAGGTCTGCAGGTGCAGGAAGCCCCCCACTGGCCCCCACCCGTCCTCGGTTATAATAAACATGCGGCAGCCAGCCGGCGTGCCCCTGCCCATCCTGTGTGCTGTGGGGTGGGTAGGCTGGCAGTAGAAGCAGCTGTGGTGCCAGTGGGGAAGGAATCCGCTAGCAGGACCCGGCTGTCCTGGGGAGCAGGGGAGGGGGTGACTCGTGGCCCCAGCAGAGCCAGGATCCCTAGGGTCCCTGGGAGGCAGGAGTCACACGGTGACCTTGACAAGCCCTAAAGGGGCTTGCTGAGTCCTCAAGACTCCTACCAGGCCAGGCAGGATGCGGTGAGGGTCAGAACAGGCTCCCTGTCCTCCTGCTCCTCCTGGAACCCACGTGGAGTCAGAGCTGATGGGGTCTCCTCCTGCGTCTCCCTGCGCCTCCCTGCTGGAGAACAGGTGAAGTAGCTGGACTGGAGTGGGGGCGGAGCCAATGGGAGGGGGGAGGGCTGGAATGCTGAGGCCAGGGAGGAGTCAGCAAGGAGCCACGCCCCCAGGGAATCGGGGAGGGGGTGATGCTGACACCAGGACATCCAGGTCATGGACAAGCTCTGGGTGCTCCAGGGCCGGGGAGGGCTCGCCCACTCTGGCCAGCCCTGTGGGTGACAGCAGCAATGGGCTGAGGCAGTAGCACCGCCCCCTCCCCGATAGCCCCCGGCCCCAGCTCCCTTCTGACTTGGACTCTGGTTATCCATGACCCGTGGACAAAACAAGATATCTGTTGGCAAGAGAAAGCCCCAGCAGAGCAGAGGCCAGTGCACAGGCACAGCAGGGTGCCGGTGCCCCACCTTGTGCTAACCGCCCACCTGCAGGTGTGACCCCAGGGCTTTCGTAGCACATCTAGGTGCTCAAAGTGATGTCCACTGGCTGCCTTCATGGGCACACTCTCCAGCCTTGCCCTGGGCAGGCCATTCCTAGCGGCGGGCACCCTCTCAAAGCTGCCATGGGAACCTCCCTCCCTGCCCCACCTGCCTCAGGCAATGACCTCTTCCTGCCATGAAGACTACAAGTACCCATTCCAGTCCATGCCCAGGCGCCTGGCTTTCCCACCCACCTTCTCCTTCGTTTAAGATCTGAAGGAGTTACAGAGAAAGGGAGACATTGAACCTGCTAGTTCACTTCCCAAATGGCCACAACAACCAGGACTAGGCCAGCTTGAAGACCGGAGCCCGGAACTCCATTTGGGTCTCCCACGCTGGTGGAAGGCATCCAACTCTTAGGCCATCCTCTGCTACTCTCCCAGGCTACAAGCAGGGAGCTAGATGGGAAGTGGAGCAGCTAGGGCTAAACTGCCGCCCATATGGAATATAGGGGGTCACAGATAACCTGTTGTACCACTGCCAGCCTCAAACTCACACCGTGTGTAAGGCTGGCCAATGGGGTCCTCAGCCTGGGAAGGTGAGGGCCAGGCCTCCAGGGACACCTATCTCCTTGGACACCACTCATGCTGCTAGGGTCGGGGCTGTGGGTGTGTCCCCGCCCCGGAACTGGGCTGGCTCTGCAATGAGGCAGGCAGGGCCCCGACAGCATGCTCACCACACAGGGAAGTGGGGTGTCAGGGGCCTGACAAAGACCCTGCACCCAAAGGCGGGCCCAGGGGATGGCACAACCTGTGGGCTCAGCGGAGCTGCAGGGTACCAGGGCTGCAGCATGGGCTGCCACTTGGAGTGGGTCTTCCCTCTCCTGCAGAACCATCACAGCCCCTGACCTCAGGAGGCCAACCCGTGCCACCTCCCCAATCCCTGGCACAGCCAGGGTCCAGGACGAGGACCGGGCCTCCTCCCTCGGCACCCTCGGACGCTGCTTGGGGATGTGACTCTGCCCTCAGGAACCTGCACCCACGCTGGGCTCAGGACTGGCAGAACAGAGGGAGAGCAGGGTCTCAAGGGAGGGACAGGTGGGTCTGGGGGTCTGGACCTTCACGCAGGCACCACCTGCAGGACACAGCCCGCAGGACCTCGGTGGGTGCAGCTCAGCCCTCCCTGCCCCACCAGGCAGGCACAGCAGCCCTGGCGCCCCCAAAGACGCCTTCACCGCTGGAAAGGAACGGACTCTTTATTCCCACATTTCACAGTGGGCCTCCACAGCTCAGGGGCGGCACAGCTGGAGACCAGAGACCCAGGGCGGGAGAACTCTCCGCGGGGCGGGCACAGGAGGGTCCAGGGCCGCTGTTCCGCACAGCCGCGGGCGAGAGGCCTCCCTGGCATGAGCCTGGCAAGGCTGCATGCGCAGGGAGGTGGAGGCGGATCCCCGCAGACTGAGGTAGTGATCAAGCAAAGCACTTGAGCCCCATTCCCCTTGGGCCTGGGTTCCCAGGGAGGGGGTGCGCGGAGCAGGCAGGGGGCGGCCCTGCACGCGGCCCCGCCCAGGGCGCAGGTGGAGGCTGCACTGCTGGGTCGGGGGTCCCTGTGCAGCCCTGGCCCTCTGCTCCCAGGGCCTCATCCACACCTCCTGCCGCAGGCCGAAGAGCCGCTGCCCTCTGTCTCCTTGCGGGGTCAGGCAGGGCCACCAGGACGGACCAGCTCTGTCCCTGGTGCCTGCAGTCCCTGCCTGTCCCTCTCTGGCTGCCTGCAGCAGAAGGGTCACGGCTCCGTCGTGTCCTCAGGGACTGAGAAAGGACCTGGAATGCCCACTGCACTCCCCGCACCCCCAGGACCCCCGGGGTGAGGGAGAGACGCCGCTGCCCACACAGGACGTGGAGAGGGCCAGGCAGACAGGGCATGGTTTAATGAAGGCGCAGGGCGGAGCTCGCCTGCAGATGCACCAGGCTGGGAGAAGAGTCGACTCCTTGCTTCTGCACGGGCAATGTCAAGGCTAAGCCATCTGGATTAGCTGTTGGCCTGCACGGAAGGGAGAGAGAGACAGTGTGTTCCTGAGCAATGAGACATGGGTGGGGCTGTTTCCCTGGGCTCACTCGACGCTCTGGCGAACCAGGCAGCGGAGGAACACAGCGCAGGGTAATTACTGCTCAGCGTGGAGGTGGCCAGGGCAGCTGGGTCCCTGGCAGGCAGCAGCTGCCGTGGAAGTCTGGCGAACAGGGTGAGAGGGCAGGTACAAGACTTCCCCGGACCATAGCTGGCCCTCAAGTTCGTTATTCCTCAAGTCTCTACTGCTTCCCACCCACAGTGGCACCTCGCACTGCGGGCACTGGGCGCACTTGCTCCTGAACCCCCTGCCCCAATAGACACTCCCCGTCCTCCCGGGCAGGCTGGGAGCCCTCCTGCAGCCAAGGACACTTGACAACCAAGGCCCTGCGGTCATCTGGGGGCACATTGTCCCCTGCCTCAGCAGCTGGGGGAGCATTCTTTATTGCAGGCTCCAATGCGGCTCCTGCCCTGACTTGGCCAGGCCACTGCTCCTGGCAGCCCAGGCTGGCCGTCTGCCAGGGACCTCCTTTCTGCCCACTCCCCAATTTGCCAGAGTCTCAGGGTCCCAAGACCCTCCACACCAGGCAGGGGGCACCATCTCCACCCTTCCCACTGCTCGGGCCTTCATCCACAGGGTTGGACGGGTAAACCGAGTTAGCCAAGGCTGCACCAAATGTGCAGGGCAGTGATGGAAGAGGTTTCCCTGTCCAGGTGGGGTGTCCACTGCTTTGCCCAGCACCAGCAGGTGGCGAGGACAGGGCATGGGCACAAGCGGAAGGGGGCATCGGAGCAGGGGAGTCTGGGAGACTGGGCCAGGGCAGGTGTGAGGGGAGACAGGCTTTGTCTGCACCCTGATGTGTTCAGGCTCCGGGGCCCCCAGGGCCCCAGGGCTGGGGTCAGCAGGAACAGGGGGTGTTACCCTCATCTGTTGGTAGATCCAATCTGTGAACACCGTCACATTCCCATACACGCCTGGTCTGTAAGCTTGTGCACAGCCGGAGCCCCAGCTGGTGTCCCCAATCAGCCACCAGATGTTGTTCTTCTCTGTGACCAGGGGTCCGCCACTGTCACCCTGGGGGCGTGGCAGGTGTTACCCAGAGCAGCAAGTCAGGGGGACATGGCAGGAGAGTGGGCACCCCCCCACAGGGCAGTGGGCAGTGGGCAGTGGGCAGGGAGCGGGGGTCTCGTGGCTCCACCAGCAGAGACAGGTCACTGGGACAAGGCCACCACCGAATGATGCAGCAGCAAGCAGCCGGCCAGGTCTCCTCTCCAATAAGCAGGGCCCCCAACCGTGTGAGAGAGAACCAGGCCCCCACACAGGCTGCTGCCACCACAGCCGCCCCTGCTGGCACTGCCCTCCCCAGCTGCCGCCCTCCCTGCTGGCAGCCACCGCTCCCTGGCTGCTCGCCCCAAGGCTATTACCTGGCAGGAGTCCACGTTGCCCTCCAGGTAGCCAGCACAGACCATAGAGGGCGTGATCAAGTTATTGTAGACGTATTTGCTGTTGCATTTCCGGGACTCGATGAGGGGCACCTGGGCAGCGTTCAGCACGTCCGACGTCTTCCCTGGGGGGGTGTCCAGCGATCAGAAAGTGGGCCCTTCCCCCCACCAGACCACACAGCACACCCCGTTCTTCTCCCTCCTCCCCACGGCCCGGCCCAACACGGAGCCCTGTTGCGGATCAGTCATCCCTCCCAGCAGGGGCTCCGCCCACCCGTGAGCATCCTGGAATCGGCCTGAGCTGTCCCGCAGCCCGTTCTGTGGGACAGCTTCCCCGCTTCGTGTCTCTCTCCTCCTGGGACCATTCCCAGGGATATGTCCCTGCGAAGCCTCTGTCCCCTCCTCTCTCCCCTCTCCCTGGGCTGTCTGGTTCCTGCATCTCCCATCTAGCTCCCGGCACAAGGCTCGCCCATCACTGGCTTGGCTCAGGAACAGCCAGGATTGCATGGCAGAGCTCCCCACCCTGCTCCCCTGGGAACCTGCTCTCTCCTAGTGCACCCCTCCACATCCTGGGAAGCCAGTGTGACAGTCTGTGATCCTGTCTGCTATACCGGCCTTCCTCCCTCAACTGCACCCTGCTGTCAATCACAGCATCTGAGCTGCCAGTCATGCCATGCCCTACTTCAAGCCTCCTGTCTCACAGAGAAGCGGAGCTGGGCTCCCCCCAGGACTCCCTCACTGGGACAGCACTGTGGAGAGGGGTGCAATGAGTGAGCCGAGCCAGGGGCCAGCTCTAAGCTCATCCTTCCCCAGCTGTGGTCACCCTGCTGCCTGCAGCGTGGCTCTCATCGCTCCCACAGCAGGAGTGACAGTGGGCAGGGCTGGCCCCGTTCTTCCCAGGCAGCAGATGGGAAGGGTGAGGCACAGAGCCACAGCACCAGGACTCAAGCCCTGCCCTCCCACTTCTGTATTCGGGGACCTCTGGGGGCCCTTACCTTTCTCGTACGTGGCCCCCCATCCGGAGATCCAGCATTCCTGATTGGGCGCCAGCATCAGGCCTGGGTTGGGCAGACACACCGGCTGGATCACTTCTGGAGAAGCGGAATGACAGTGGGTGAGCGGGTGGTGGCCACTGCAGCCCTGACCACCATGTCCACTTGGCTCCACCCTGCCCTTTCTCCCAGACCCCTGACTGCAAATGCCCCAAAGCTCTACCTTCTGCCCCTGCCAGGCCCTCTTGCTAACGGCCTAGAAGACCCCTGGAAAGTGGGACGCCTTATCACCGGAGGTCTGAGTGAGCCCAACAAGCACTCTCCAGGTGGCCGCATGCCCAGGGAACACACACACACACACACACACACTCACAGGCCAGGGCGCCTGCATGGCGCCTGCGGAGCGTACTGCACCCATTCCCAGAACAGGTGCATCCACACCTGTGGCCCATCACAGCCGTGTGTGGGGTGGGGCTTGTCTCTACTCAAAGCTAGAAGTCCTTGGGTGACTCCAGGGAGGGCCAGTCTAACAAGCTAAGGCATGCTGCTTTGAATTCTGTTTTCAAGTAGCTTGCTTTCAGAATGTCTGAAAAAAGTGTGTGTGTGTGTGTGTGTGTGTGCGCGCACATGCACGCGGTCCACAGACCAAGATGGAGGTGATGTGGGCAGTGCCTGGATGTCCTTGGTTGTCATAGCTGGGAAGCAGGAGAATGTTCCAGATGCAATCACTGGCTTCAGGGTGAGGGGGTTACCCTACCCTGCCATCAGGGGCAGTGGTGCAGCTGAGACGCCAACATCCGCAGACCATCCCAACAGGTGGATATGCTGACGGGACTGACAGAGGCAGGACAGCCGCCACTACTCTGGCCTGCCTAATTCCGCACAGGCCACAGCACCTGGCGCCCACAAGCCATTTCTCAAGGAACAGCCTGCATTCCCTAGGGGCGTCTCCCGAGACCCCCAGCCCGGGCGGAACCACACACACCACTGAAGGTCAGGGGCGTCTGCAGTTTGATGAGAGCAATGTCATTGTTCTTGGTCTTGGAGTCGTAGTCTGGGTGAGAGATCACTTTCTCTGCTCGGTTTCCGCTTCCGTAGAGCATCTGAGGCTGAGACAAGATGCCCGCGTACACCGTCCAGTAGCGGGCGCTGTTCAGAGGCCTGTGGGACAGACGCGGTCAGGAGGCCCATTCTGGGGAGTAGGGGGCCCCAAATCCAGTGGGGAGGCAGGTCCCTGCGCAAGCACACAGCAGAAGGGAGGCGACTGGCTCCCCCACCACCTCTTACCCCGAGCCTGGCTATTTCTCACTCCCCTGAAGACCCCGCACTCCTGTGGGCTTCCACCCAGTCTGCGGGAAGCCCCCCACTTCTGTTCCGAGTTTTCTCCCCCTTTTCTGGAGGTGTAGCCAGAGCATTTCTTGTCACACAGTAGGTGCTTAGTAAATATGTGCTGTTGAACGGCCTCAAAGTCAAGGTAGCCCCTCAATCCAGGGATTCTACTAAGGGCTCTTAAGAGGAGCTGGTTCCTAAGGGCGCTCAGAACTGGGGGTGCAGGACCTTAAATAGGGACCCCCAGAGGATCTCCCAGCCAGGGTCCCTGACAGCCCTGCTTTAGCCCCACCACCCAACCCAGCAGCTCTGCCTTAGCACCCCCACCCCACCCTAGGACCCCAAGGGGCAGAGGAGGCAGCAGCCGGAAAGTCCTCGGTCATTCCTCCCCCACCCCCACGCCTCTTGGCCAGGCAGGGATGGGCATGGTGAAGCAGGCACCCTCCTGACCTAACATGCCACTCGGGGGCTCCCCCTGGAGCCGCTCAGGAGTACCCCCTGCCGGCAGCCAGCACATCCCCTCTGGGGCCCAGTGCTACTCACTCCTCCAGGCAGTGGGCAGCCGTCACGATCCACTGCGGGGTGATGATGGAGCCTCCGCACACGTGGACGCCCTGCACATGCAGGCTCACCTGCCACGGCCACTCCCCGGCCACGGCACTCGTGCCACCCACAATCCTGCTCTGGCCGCTGGGGGAGGATTTCACACCACACTCTGGGGGCACAAGAGAAGAAGCTGGGATCACCTGTGCCACGTCCAACCCACCCACCCACCCAGGGGCTCCCTCTCACCTGCCACCCTCACCCCCCTTTGGCCACGTTCCAGCTCAAGGAAGCAGAGGATGTGCCACAGCCCCCCCCCCCAAGGGGCAGCACCACCTTCTGGGGGTGCAGGGGTGGGGTGGCCACTGCTCAGGGGCTCTGTGGGGTCTCCTGGTCGGAGGGGCTCCTGGAGCCCCCAGTAGGGCTGTTACAGCCCCAGGCCAGAAGCTTCTGGAACAAGGAGAGGAAGGCAGGGTGGCTCTGGAGGGAGAGGATGTGGTGGCTAAGGGGCCCAAAGAGCAGGACAAAACGGAACCCTCTGCACCCCAAGTCGCTCCTGGGGAGCGAGTGCTCACTCAGTGCACCCCCAAACCACCTGCCACGGCTGTACGGGCAGGGAGCAGGGTCGGCACCCCTTGTTCCACAGCTATGCCAACACCAACTAGGTACCTGAGATGCTTCCAGCCCGGCCTCACTAGAAGTCACCCTGTGGGCTGGCATGCCCTCTGGTCAAGACCCCAGAGTAGGGCAAAAGACGCCCCTTTCCTTCTCCATTGTTCCATGGTCTGGAAGGCAAGCCACAGACCTGACACTACCCAGGTCTCAGCTTCCACCCAAAGCCTCGAGAGAAATGGCAGGGGAGCCGTGGCCTGCAGGCACTGTGTCGAGGCCTCGGGGTGGCCACATCCCCGGACTGCACAGCTTCAAGTCCACAGGATCAGGAATGTGACCCTACCCACGACAGGGCCTCCGGCTGGGGCTGCGGGGCCGCGAAGAGCAGGGCCCAGCTGGTCCCCGAGGCTGCCCCCTTGCATGGCTGCAGGCTTCTGAAGCAGGTGAAACCCAGGGGGCACTTCTGCGAAGGCCAGGCCACCCCCCAGGTGAGAGCTGTAAGAAGGGGCATGGGGTGGGGGCGGGGGCACTTACGGATACAGCGCAACGACACCACCACCTTGGAGGAGCAGGTCTCACTGGGAAAAAAAAAAAACGGGGGGACATCTGAGTCATCACAACGGGGCATGCCAGACTCTTCTGAGCTCCTGGGGAGGGGCCAGTACCGACGGCAGAGCAGATTCAGAGAACAGACCCCAGCTCAGCTGGGGCTGTGGGTCCCTGCACAACTCCCTCGGCCTCCCTGTGGCCGTCGGGGCGATGAAGCAAGCTCACAGGCTGAACACCATCATCTGTAAATTTGGAGGCTGCAGCGCCCCCACTGTTTAGGTGGGCAGCAAACGTGCTGTCACCAGCAGAGGATGGCACCTCTGGGCCCAGACAGCAGGTGCACACAGCAGGCGCGGGCTGAAGTGGCTGAGGCACACATGCACCATGGATGAAGTGCAGCTTCAGAGGAGTGTCCGCTTCCCCCGAGCTCCCATCATGCCCACGCAAATTCGCCAAAGCAGAACCAACTGTGGGGCCAAACACCTTGGACACGGGGTTCTCGCTCTGGAGTACTAACTCAGGTCAGGGAGGGGGCAGTGAGGAGGAAGCCCACTGCCACGCTAGCTTTCATATCCATGAAGACACATTACATCATTTTGATGTAAAACAAAATAGGTGTGGAGCCAGTGCGATGGATCAACTGGCAAATCCTTCGCCTGCAAGTGGACACTGGTTCAAGTTCTGCTGCTCTATTTCCCACCCAGCTCCCTACTTATGGCCTACGAAAACAATGGAGGACAGCTCAAAGCCTTGGGCCCTACACCCACGTGGGAGACCCGGAAGAGGCTCCTGGCTCCTGGCTTCAGACCAGCTCAGCTCTGACTGTTGCAGCCATGTGGAGCATGAGCCAGTGGATGGAAGCTCTTTCTGTCTATCCTTCTCTCTGTAAACCTGATCTTTCCAGCAAAAATAAGGTAAGTCCTTAGGAAAACCGATCTGTGCATATGAGAAGGAGCCAAAGAGCTTGTGGAAAATATGAATTATAAAATCCATGTGGGCCCGGTGCAGAGGCCTAGCAGCTAAAGTCCTCGCCTTGAACGTACTGCAATCCCTTATGGTCACCAGTTCTAATCCCAGCTGCTCCACTTCCCATCCAGCTCCCTGCTTGTAGCCTGGGAAAGCAGTTGAGGACAGTTCAAAGCCTTGGGACCCTGCACCCGTGTGGGAGACCTGGAAGAAATTCCTGGATCTTGGCTTCAGATCGGCACAGCATCGGCCGTTGCAGTCACTTGGGGAGTGAATCATCAGATGGAAGATCCTTCTGTCTGTCTCTCCTTCTCTCTGTATATCTGACTTTCCAACAACAGAAAAAATCCATGCAAGGTATCACAGGGCCACACATCACACCTGAGAACTGCACCTGCTGGCCAGAGTGATGCCTCAGTGTGCGAGTGCCTAGGGGGCATGGCTGGCATTCAATAGTCTGTTCTGTTCAGACCCTTGTGTCCTTAACTGGCTTGTGTTCTCCATTTCACGTTTAGGGGTCTTCTGACTCCAGGTGGCCTTGAACATGCAAACTTGTATGACCAACTTCTGCCATAGTAGCTTGGATGACCCAGACCATCTCTCTGTGGATCCCGCACCTTGGAGGGCCCTTTTACCCAAACGATGCCCCGTTCCAGCAGGAAGTAGCCAGAAGACACCGATGCCCTTTACCCCTGTGGAAGTAGGAGGTGGGATTTAAAGAGGGCGGTCTGAGACCTTCCAGGCCTGCTGAGGTCGTGGCCACACCTCCAGGTGGGCGGCACAAGCACCACCCGGCCATTTCCTAACTGGTTAAGAGACCACCAATAGGGGACATCTTACCTGTAGGCTCCCACCCAACAAGGAGGGATCAGGGAACACTTAAAACCCCAAGACCCTCCCTCCAACCTGTGCTGTCTCTCCCTCCCCCTCCAGAGGTGCTTTCCCTTCCCCGCTCACCTGGTCCCTTCACAAATAAACTTTTCTATGCACAAAAGAAAAAAAAAATCCATACATGGATGCCAAAAATATTTTTCTTAACTTAATTCTTAAGATGTATTGATTGAGAGAGAAAAAAAAGAGGGAGGGTCTTCCATCTATTGGTTCACTCTTGGAAAGCAGCTGGAGGTGGGCCTGGCCGTAACCAGGAGCCTCGAGATCTAGCTGGCTCTCCCACATGGGTGGCAGGGCTGTAAAGCTTTGCAATGCCTTCCACTGCTTTCCCAGGCATATTCCCAGGCAACTGGATCGGAAGCAGCCATCTGATCCACGGAGCTGGCATCACAAGTGGCAGCTTAATGCACTGTGCCCAACAGTAGCCCTCTCAAAAATGCTTTAAGGCAAAACAAACATGTTCTTTGTGCAACACTGCAGGAACTTTTTAAAGTCCCTCTGCACACTGGGGATCTCAAAGCAATCTGTAGCTCTATCCAGAAGTCACAGGAAACTTCCGGGGTCACGTGACTGATATCTCCAGGAAAAAGTAATGTCACCAAATCAAACCAAAGTGACCCCTGGGAGGTGCTCAGGCTCCCCCGCCCAGGCTCAACACGGAAAAGAAACCCCAGTACCTGCACCCCAGTGGTGCACGGCCTAAGACAAGCAGGCCTGTGGCGCCCAGAACTGGCCCAGCACTGCCCACTGCGGCTGCATGTCCCGTGCCCTCAGTCCTGAGAATTAGCCGGACCACCGCAGGCATGAGCGTGGGCGAGACCCAGGCCAGCCCACTCCCAAAATCAGGACTGCCTTCGCACACAGGGCCCTGGTCCAGACTGCAACATGATGCCTTGGCCACCCTCCATCCTGGCCAGCCCTCGCGGCCGGGCTGTCTTCCTCCGGAGCAGCGGAGACTGGTTCCACTTTAAGCACCTTCGAGAAAATCCACAGCCACCCATGCTTCCCACCCTGCATTCTGGGCCCACTCACATGCCACCCAAGTCCAAGTCCTCCTTAGCCCTCTCATAGGCATGACGGCAGATGCCATCCCAGGCTGACTCTGGCTGCAGGGCCCTGACAACGTCCCGCAAACACATCTTGCTAACAGGGGACATTTCCCTAGAATCCTTACATCCAGCAGGGACATCCCCCTGTGGAAACCACCAGGATCTGGGGTGCAGCTGACTTTCAGAGTGGGGGGGCCACCCCAAGTGAGCTCCAAGACTCTGAACAAGTTGTGCACAAAGTAGGTAAAGCCACGCTCTCCCGAGCCCCACGCCTCCCGCGGCGCAGCCGGAGCCCGCGGCCCAGACAATGACCTTCTCCTCTTTCCTCAAACCGTCAGCCACCGTGTGAGTTCCCAAGGTGCTTGCCAAGGACCGCAGTCTCCCTGCCCCCCAGCCCTCCCCGCTCTGGGTCTCCTGGATTTTTCTTGGCTCCGGATTTCTTGTGTGACTGAGAAAAACAAAGAACCAGTCAGCATTTTCCAGGAGCCCAGGCAGCTGTGTTGAGCCTCTCCTGGGACAGTCGAACCAGCCCCTGCTGTCTGGAAGGTGCACCTGGCAGTGTGTCCCCTGTGTCTGCAGGGCTAGCCCCGAGGCATTCCCAGGACAGAAGGCTGTGGCAGAAGCCACCAGGAATGCAACCCTGCTCCCAGTCTCCAGCCAGAGGGCAGGTGGAACGCTGTGGGGAGTCTGCTGCTTGCCCTCCCCTAAATGTGGCACCCAGCACCTGGCTGGCAGGGGGCCGAGGGCCATGCCCTTGAGGTGAGTGATGGGGACCCAGAATGAGGGAGGAGTCTGTGCAGGTGACATCACAAAACATTCAGGGAGCAGCAAAGCTCCTGCAAACATCTGTCTATGCAGGTCTCCTGCCCAAACAGTTCAGCCATCCATCCGAGGCCCACGGACAGCCCTGGTCATTTCCACCCCCCGGGACACGCACTGGACGTGCCCAGAGCTGCAAGTCAGCTCAGCGGAGCAGGTGCAGGGAATCTTCATGCCACTGACCCTTCCCTGGCTCCCCAAGCCCCAGATCTACCCACCCCTCCCGTGGCATCGATGATGCCCAAGATGGCTGGGATAAAACGGACCAAACACCCCAGCTGCCGGCACAGGTGCCTAGGAAATCCTCAAAGCCCTGGCACCCCCAGAAAGAGCAGGCGCGCTCTGTGGGCACCCTGAGAATACGCCCCGATGCCCTTGAGGTCTGGAGAGAAAAGGAGTCGAATCCCACTTCAGCGACGGGGTGGGCAGCAGAGGCTGCGCCAACCCACCTGTCTCTCCGCGAGGAACAAAGCCAGCAAGCCCGCCCCAGGTAGCCCCTAATGTCCTCCGGGGCAGCCAGGCGCCAGCGCGCGGGGACAGGGACGCCTGCGGGGTCCCCGGCACGAACCTGTGGTAGAGCTTCTGATACAAGTCCCCGGTGCTGGCACTCAGGTTGAGCTTCATGAAGCTGGTGGCCCCGCTGTCATCGGCAATCCCACCGGAAGAATAAAAACTGCTCCTGGAAAAGACCCAGAACCCTTGTGTCCACGAGGGGCCAGCCCGCCAGCCATCACAAATTCCCTGGCTTCTCCCTGGAATCAGAGGGAGGAAACCTCGGCGTTTAGGAAAACCGAAGCACACAGATTCAACGCAGCGACCTTCAACGGGAGCTGAACGTCTGTTAGGGTAAAGAAAGGAAGATAGTGGGGGAGCTGGGGAGATGTGCTGGCATAGCAAGCTAAGCCTCTGCCTGCCGGGCCAGCACCCCATGTAGGCGCTGCTTTGAGTCTCAGCGGTTCCGCTTCCCATCCAGTTCCCTGCGTGTGGCCTGGGAAAGCAATCAAGGATGACCCAAAGCCTTGGGACCCTGCACCTGTGTAGGAGACCCGGAAGAAGCTCCTGGTTTCAGAGCAGCCCCGCTCTGGCCATGGAAGTCATTTCGAGGAGTGAACCAGTAGATGAAAGATCTTTCTGTCCCTCCTCTCTCTGTAGCTCTTTCAAGTAAAATACACAATTCTTTAAAAAGGAAAAAAAGGAGAAATGAAGACAGTAGGGGATGTGTGTGTGCACGCATCGCACAAGGGGTGCAGGTGTCTGACCACCCCCAGCTGGGGCGGGGTGGCGGTGCCACTGTGCCATCCACCCTGAGGGAGGGCCAGACGGCTTTTTGCATCATTCACCCGCTAAGGTGCAGCACGGCAATCAGACCAAGCAGGGTTCACTTCAAAAGCCGCTACACATGGTAGAACTTTGAAAAGCTTGACCAACAGAATTCAAGGCATGAAATCCATACCTCATCTCATAAGATGCATTTTTATTGGAAAGTCAGATATACAGGGACAAGAAAAGACAGAGGGCAAGACCTTCGGTCTACTGATTCACCGCCCAGGCGGCCCCAACGGCCGGAGCTGAGCTGCTCCAAAGCCAGGAGCCGGGAACCTCTTCTGGGTCTCCCATGTAGGTGCAGGGTCCCAAGGCTTTGGGCCATCTTCGACTGCTTTCCCAGGCCACAAACAGGGAGCTGGATGGGTAGTGGGGCTGCCCAGATATGAACCAGTGCCCATATGGGATCCCGGCATGTTCAAGGAGAAGACTTTAGCCACTAGGCTACTGTGCCAGGCTCATAAGATGCATTTCTAAGGAAACTTTTTAAAGACCCCATGTGGAACAGTCTGGACATGCCCTGGAGTCACACAGGCCACCCCACCCATGACTGTGGCTTGGGCATACACTTGTACGGGACTCAGGGGCTGAGGGGGTAGACCTTCACCTGGCTCTGGCTTCCTGGGGGACAATCAGGCTGAGTCCCCAGGGTTCAACCTGCTGCCTTTGTAAGAGGAAGAGACCAGAAGGCACACACGGCTGTGCTCCCCGTCTCTCACCACGTCACACATACAACTATGACCTTGGGACCCTTCCGGGAAAAAGACCAGCAGCAGATGAGGGTCCCTGGCACCCAGCCTGCAGTGCTAAGAGTTCCCCGCAGAGGGCGCTCCTGGGAGTGGCAGTCAGTAAGGCTGTTTTTGTGCTTGGGCCAGGCTGCCCTTGACCGCCAGAGGCTCCACCCTGGCCGCGAGGCCCAGGCCTGCACCTGAGACCCTGGGCATTCCCACAAGCAGGGCAGGCTGGCAGACCTGTGCTTCTGGGGCAAGTGGAGGTAGCCAGAGGGGGCGATGGGGGCCGTGGCGGTGCACTCACTTGTAGCCCATGTCCTGGCACGCCGCCCGCCCATAGTTTTCGTTCCAGCCGTCTTGGCACACGGGGTACCAGGAATTCCTCTGAGATGAATAGACCTGAAGGATGAAGTTCGGACCATAGAGGCGAACTGCACGAGAAGGGAAGCGCTGCGTGAGTGTCGCGTGGCTCTGTGGCTCTCCCCCCAGCCCACACCACGTGGTCCTCGTGCCACGCCAGCCCCAGGCTGTGGGCATACATTAAAATGCCTGCTTTATGCAAAAACATTCAAAACGGGGGTTTAAGTGAGAGCTCCCTGCGGCACAGCGACCCAAACGCCCACCTGCGGGTGAACAAACAAGACATGCTGGAAGACTCCTTGCCCGCACAGGGGAGGCAGCCCTGCTCTGGGCACCCCGGGAAGCCCCGTGGCCCACAAGGGCACCCTGGGGTACCCCCTCCCAGAGCCCCATGTGCCACCACACCCATGCAGAGGGCAGAGGGCTCGGTGTGCACAGCGCATCTGTGGGCATGGCACGGGAGGAGCCCCAGGGCTCCCCAGGAAACAGCCGTCGGTCAGGGAAGAGAAACGGACGCTGCTCCCTTTATTGAAACATCTGCTGGGCGGAGCAGACTCGGCACTGTCAAAGACAGGCGGTGAACACGCATCTGTGTTATATGTATGCGGAGTGTGTGTGTGATGTGCAGTTCACATGTGTGGCATGTGTGGTGTGTGTGGTTTGTGTGTGTGGCATGCGGTAAGCAGGTATGGAATACAAAGCATCGTGTGTGGGTTGTGTGGACGGTGTGTCTGATGTACAATGTTACATGGTGTGTGATGTGCAATGTATGTGTACATATGACGGCAGAGTGGGGGAGACAGCATTTTTCATACCACACCATTTATACTTCCCAGACTTTGATCTATTGGGGTACACGCCACGTGGCACGGGAGCATGGCAATACAGCTGGATCTCCGCCACTCTCTGCTTCACCCTGGAAGCTTAACTTAGGAAATCGGGGGCCCGACATGGCGCCCCCAAGGCAGAGCCAGGGAAGCACTGGAGCCCCGCGTGAGTCACGGGAGGGAGCCCGCTGCGTCTCCCCAGCACCTGCGGGTTTGTGGGTCTTACGTCAAACCCCGAGGAGTTAGCAGTGGGGGCCGGGAAGGCCACCTAGAGGTTTCTGGGGGCGCTCCTGATGCTGCAGTTGAGAAATGTCTATTTTTCAAAGACAGTGTTCTGTTGTGAACCTGCCAGGTTGTGTGAGTGTGTGTGTGTGTGTGTGAGTGTGTGTGTGAGTGTGTGTATGTGTGTGTGAGTGTGTGAGAGTGTGTGTGTGAGTGTGCGTGAGTGTGTGTGTGTGCGTGTGTATGTGAGTGCGTGTGTGTGAGTGTGAGAGTGAGTGTGTGTGCATGAGTGTGTGTCCCACGCCCTGGCCATCGATGACCTGACCCCAGGGGGAGCCAGCAGAAGCGGCCAACTCCAGGCTGGCGCAGAGCGCACGGGCCAGCTCGGGACGGGGCATGGCGCTTTCCTCCGTTCAGTGAGCATGGGTGCCCGCGAGCCCTGCCACAGCGGGCAGAGCACCCTGGCTCACGGGCCGTGGGCTCAGCTCTGGCGGCGGGATTTCTTGGTGTGCTGCTCATCCCGAGTCCTGTTTGGTCTCAGCCACTCTGGCTATGTCCTTCAAAGACAAACAAGCCAGGGACGGGAAGGCAGTGAAAGCCACAACCAAGGTAGCTGGAGAAGTTCTGGCACAGCGGTTAGGCTGCCAGCTGCAACGCCACTGCCCGTGTGAGCACCAGTTCAAATCCCGGCTGCTCTGCTTCCGTTCCAGCTTCCTGCTAGTGTGCTTGGGGGCAGCAGATGAAGGTCAGGGGTCTTGGGGCCTGGTACCCACGTGACAGGAGCCACAATGAGATATCACTAATACCTGTTAGATCGGCTGTTATAAAAACAGCAGTAAGTACTGGCAAGGGCATGGAGCAGAGAACCCCAACGTGCCGTTGGTGGGGAAGGGAGCCAGCACAGGTGTGCTGCGGGTTGTTCAGAGATTCCTCAGAAAGGTCCAGATAGAATGCCTACTGCCCAGGGTGTCCCACCCCCTGCTGGCAGGAGCCACCCACTCCCCACGCCCTACGGCACGCACCACGGCCACCAAGGCAGGCATGCAAAATTGCCACGGTGGGGCCACAGAAGTGGGGGGACATGCTGCAGCCTGACTCAGCCACGGGAAGAGAGGAACTCGGGAGGACTTCAGGGCCCGGGAAGGAAGCCGGATGCAGAAAGACAAACGGCGCCAGGACCAAGCTGGGTCCTCGGGAGATCTGGAAAGCCCGACTCACAGACCCAGGGTGCAACAGTGGGCACCAGGACCGGAGCAGAGTGAGGGGAAGGTGCCACCACGGAGCGCAAACTCGAGCAAGCAAATAGATGCCGGCTGGCCACACCCGGGGGGATGCTAGAACACACCCCGAGCCCAGGGCTGGCCTGAAGGCCTTGGGGTGGGGGTGGTCCAGGGCACCAGTCACACCCGCCCTGGGGGTGCCCCTGGCTGACTCACCACAGCGGTTCTCATCCTCTCCGTTGGGGCAGTGGAAGACGCCGTCGCACCAGTTGGAGGGGCTGATGCAGATCCCTGAGGAGCCACACTCCATTCCAGAGCACCTGTTCTCCACTGGCAGGGAGAGACGCCCATCAGGCGGGGGAAGCCATGGGGCCCACTGGGAGGGTCTCCATCTTCATCTGGGGCAGGGGCAGGTGGCGTCACAGGGGTCAAAGGATGACCCTGTGAGGTTCTGGCTCCCCTTCTGTGCCACACAGGACACTTCAGGGATGCCCAAGAGCAGAGGGCAAAAGGCAGAATGCAGCAACAGCAGGTGCCGTGGACAGGGCTTGCCCAGGCCCCAGCAGCCACTGCTGCATCTGGCATCCAGAGCCAAGTGGGGGACCTGTCCATCCCACAGCTGGTGGCTCTTAGCAGCATCCCCCAAACGCTAGGAAGGTTCCAGCTGCATCTCCCGCAGTGCATATTAACGCTAGAGAAACAGCCTGGAGTTTGGCATCCTTCCGACCTGCAGAAGGTGCGTCTACAAGACACAGCAAAAGCTTGGGACAAGCACAGAGGCCTCTGCACATCTGCCAGCCCCCAGGGCAAGATGGGGTTCAGGCCTAAGACGACAGTGCAGCTGGAGGTGGCTGCCCAGCTCCCACACTTACAGAAGTTCCAGAGCAGGCCAGCGATCAGCCCGGCCCCCACCAGAACGGCGCCCACGGCCAAGATGACCTCTGCGGGAGAGAGGAGAGAGCGGCTCAGGGGCGGCCCGAGGTCACGCGTTCCCCTCCCACCCTGCCGTGCCTGTGGAGCAGGTGCACCTGCCCTGGCCCGAGACACCTGTCGTGGACAGGCAGTGAAGGTGTGGGGACGACAGTCTCGTGGCCTCATCTGTGCTCAGAACCCGTGCCGCGGCTCGTGGTGGGCAGGAGCCTCACACCGAGCCTTTCTACCGTCTAGTCAGAGAACTCACAGGGTTGGAGCCCCGTGCGGGACAACAGAACCAAGGGGTGTGCAGGAACACTCACCCCCATCACGAGATTGGAAAGCCTTTTTTGTTATTACTTTTAAAAATTTATTTGAGGAGCTGGGGTGATGGCATACAGGCTAATCCTCTGCCTGCAACCACTGGCATCCCATATGGGCACCAGTTCTCATCCTGGCCACTGCACTTCTGATCCAGCTCCCTGCTTATGGCCTGGGAAAGCAGCAGAGGATGGCCCAACGATGGTCTCCCACATGGGAGACCCAGAAGAAGCTCCTGGCTCCTGGCTTAAAACTGGATCAGCTCTGGCCACTGCAGCCATCTGGGGAGTGAACCAGTGAATAAAAAATCTCTCTGTACATCTGCCTTCCCAATTAAAATAAATAAATCTTTTTTTAAAAAATGGGAAAATGAAATTAAAACATGAAATTAGAAACAAACTTTATTGCACGTAACAGCTTGCCTGCTGACTTTGGGCTATTGAATTGGGTCTCCTGGACTCTCCTGTGGAGCAGGGTGCCACAGGACATGCCCGGCTCTGCCTGGGATGGCTGAGCCCCTTGCAAATGAGCTAAATCCTCACCTTGCCAGCCCCACTTGCAATAGCCACTTGAATCTCCACTTCCCATCCAGCTCCCTACCTGCGGCCTGGGAAAGCAGCAGAGGATGGCCCAAAGCCTTGGGACCCTGCACCCGCATGGGAGACCTGGAAGAAGCTCCGGGCTCCTGGCTTTGGATCTGCTCAGCTCCAGCCATTGTGGCCATTTAGGGAGTGAACCAGCAGAGGGAAGATCTTCCTCTCTGTCTCTCCTTTGCTCTGTAAATCTGACTTTCCAATAAAAAACTAAAAATGCAAAACCCCAGATGGGGATGCAGACACTCCTGATGGAAGTCCCGGACAAGGCACTCCTCCACAGGGGCGAGGCCCACTGGCCGCCAGCTGGCCCTCAGGCTTGCCCACCACAGTCGGAGCCCACCCTGGGGGGCACACCGCAGAGGGGCCCTTGGCTGGCAGTCTTGGTCACGTGTCAGGGTGTCAGCTAACAAAGACAGGGATTTCTCCACCCACTGACGCCAGCGTGGCTAACAGGCAGGGGTGGAGGGGACCAGCGGCATCCCTAACCCACAGGAGGGATGGCAGAAATGTCCCCTACCCTAGTTAGAAACCGCTCAGCCAGACACTGCCAACTGCCCCTGTGGTCAAAAGCACCCCGGTCAAGAACTGTGGCCCTGCACCGCTCAGCTTCCCTCTGGGACAGGCACTGAGGCCAAGGCCAAGTTCCACCCCAATCTGGGTCAGAGAAGCACAGGGCGGAGGCAAGAGAGGGGAGAGACTGCCTCATGGGAAGGAGGGCGGTGGCCAGAGGGGTCATAGAAGCACCACCATGGGGCAGAGGAAGTGGCAGGCCTGGGCAGGGAGACAGGGCTCCCGCGGCACAAGCTGGAGGTCGGCACGCTAAAAGCTGTTTTCTTATTTGTCTGTAACCATACAAGGCATGGACACCTGCCTTCCTTGGGGTACCACAAAAGCACAGCCGGAGCAAAGCTCTCAGCTTGACTGCCCCCCATGCTACCTGTAGCAGGGGGCTCGCAGCGTGGAAACTGCCCAAGTTAAAAGCCAAGAGACGGGGCACGGGGCTGCGTCTGGAGAGCCATGAGGGGCAGCAGCCTGGCAGGCAAGAGAGTCAGATGGCGAAGGCGCCCGGCAGGGAGAGAGGGACAGAAGAATGCTGGGCAGCTGGAAGGCCCTGCAGCCGCTGGCAGGGCCCTCCGCAGTGGCGGGGTGCGTGGCGCCATGGCCACGCCTTCCACTACGCCAGAAGCCAGAAGCACAGAGAAGCTCACAGGGCCCCACCACCCCGGCAGGTGGAGGGCAGGGCAGACCAGGGCGGTGGTGGGGGATGGCTCCAGAGACCACAGACCCAGTCCTGGGAGACAAGTGCAAAGACGCCTACTTGCGGAGCACAGCAAGCGGGACCTGGAACTCCTGAGGACCACGGGTGTCGTGGCCTGCGTGGTGACCTTCGGAGCATACTGTGGGACCGTGGGTGGGTAGTGCTGAGTCGGGTACTCGGCGTAGGCCTGGGGGGCCACCGGGTGCGGGTGGGCACATAAGTTTTCCGGTTGGTAGCCATGGTTTTCGTAGTAAGGCCCAACATCTGGGGCTGGCCCCTGCGAACAGAAAGAGAAGACAGGTCATGCAGGAAGGCAGACACACCCCACATCACGTTTCCAACGAGACATGGACAGGCACCGTGTGCAGCTAAGTGCGCCCCACCGCCATCATGCAGCATGGTCTGGGTGAAAAGTAACCAGTGACTTCAGCTGTCAGCATCTCTGTTCCTGACTGCTCAAACTTTAGCAGGAAAACAGTGCCAGATAGACAGGAAAGACGTTTGGGTGAGCCACCGCTTGGGACACCCCAGCCCATCACAGTCTGACATCAGGACCTGGCTCTACCCCGAATCCCGGCTCCCTGCTCACGCACGTCCCAGCGGGCAGCAGGCCATGGCTCAAGCACCTGCCACCCACACGGGACAGCCCAGTGCAGCCCTGGCTCCGAGCTTCGGCCTGGCCCGGCTCTGGCTGCTTTGCACATGGTGAAAATGCTGTTCTTCGCGCCAGCTGATTTAGCTTTCAGTCGCATTAGCCATGAACTTTCTGAGGTTCTTAGGTGTGGACACCCTCCCAGACAGGTCACACTCGGCAGCCAGGATCAGTAGACCCTGGCACGGTTCCCACGTAGGGGCTGCAAACAGAAAATCCGTGAACACACAACGTGAGCTCCTGTGCAGGCGGCCTGGAGACCCAGGGCCTCTCCCCTTTCTCTCTCTCTCTTTTTTATAGATTTGTATATTTATTTGAGAGGCAGCGACAAAAGGAGAGAAAGATGGCCCACGTACTGGTTTACTCGTCAGATGGCTGCAACAACCTGGGCTGGACCAGGCCGAAGCCAGAAGCTTCTTCCAGGTCTCCCACATGGGTTTGAGGATCCAAGCTTTGCCCAGGTGTGCGAGCAGGGAGCCGGACTGGAAGTGGAACAGCCGAGACTCAAACCAGTCCCCACATGTGATGCTGGCATCACCGGCGGCAGCTTAACCTGACTGGCACACTTCTAGCCAAGCCTCATCCTTCCAATGTGTTTTCAGGTTCAAGTGCACGCGTGCGCGCGCGCGCGCGCACACACACACACACACACACACACACACACACACACACACACACACGGGGAAGCAGCCCTGGCCCAGCTCCGTGCTTAGGATCCTCCTCCCCTCTCCACTGCCTGTGCAGTTCGTTTCTGCCCCATCTTTCATTGACCTCTGAGGTTCCCACAGGCTAGCAGCTAGTCTGAGCACAGGAATTCCCGACGGGCCTCCAGGCAAGCCGAGTCAGAGAAGGAGCACGAGGGTAGCACCGTGGGGCAGTGGGTTAAGCTGCAGCCTGCAGATGCCAGCATCCCATAGGAGCACTGGTTCAAGTCCTGGCTATTCCACCTGTGACCCAGCTCCCTGCTCATGTGCCTGGGAAAGCAGAGAACGGCTCGAGTACTTGGGGCCCTGTACCCATGTGGGAGACCCACAGTGGCTCATGGTTATGGCTTCAGCCCGGCATAACCCTGGCCTTTGTGGTCACGTGGGGAGTGAACCAGCAAATAGATCTTTCTCTCTGTATCTCTCCTTCTCTGTAAAAACCTATCTTTCAACCAAAAGTAAATAATTTTTTTTTTTTAATTCCTTGGGAGGGCCTGGTGCAATGGCTCAGTGGATAAATCCTTGCCTAGCAAGCACCAGTTCATATCCCGGCTGCTCCATTTTCTAGCCAACTAACCCCCTGCTTGTGACCTGGAAAAGCAGTCAAGAACAGCCCAAAACTTGGGGACCCTGCACCCATGTGGGAGACCCGGAAGAAGCTCCAGGCTTCTGGCTACGATTGTTTCAGCTCCAGCCACTGCGGCCACTTGGGGAGTGAACCAGCAGATGGGAAGATCTTTGTCTCTCCTCTCTGTATATCTGCCTTTCCAGTAACAGTAAATAAATCTTTTTAAAAATTAAGATAAAAAAATTTAAAAATAAAAAAGATAAATGCACCCTGGTGCCCCAAAATTCTAAAATCAGAAACTTCAAGAAAAATGCATTCTGTGGGGAAAAAAAGTGCCTGCATATTTTCCTGTGAGATCTACAAAACCTCGTTCTGAGCACAAACCCTGCTAACGGAACTTGTTTCGGGTGTGTGGTGAGCGGTAAGGGGCACAGAGGTGACGGTGCCACTCTGGATGCCCACCTGGCACATCACAAGACCAGGGTTTGAGGTTCCATTTCCAGCTCCTGCTAACGTACACACAGAGCCGGGGACGCCTCCAATGGGGGTCCCAGGCACGGCCATGCGAGACCCCGATGAAGTTTCCACCTCCTGGCCCAGCCTTGGCTGTGGTGGGCATCTGGGGGCAATGCAACAACAGACAGAAGATCCTCCTGTCTTTCTGTTAAGATTCCTTTGTTTATTTGATGGGGAGATTTACAGAGAGAAGGCGAGAGAGCGAGTATCTTCCATCTGCTGGCTCACTCCCCAAATGACCACAACAGCTGAGGCTGAGGTATCCGAAGCCAGGAGCCAACAGCTTCCTCCAGGTCTCCCTGGTGGGTGCAGGGGACCAAGCCTTGGGCTGTCCTCTGCTGCTCTCCCAGGTAGATTAGCTGAATAGGAAACTGAATAGGAAGTGAAGCAGCCAGGATAAGAATTGGTGCCCATGTGGGATGCTGGCGTTTGCAGGTAGACAATTAGCCTGCTGGGTTTGGCGCAATGGCCTAGTGGCTGAAATCCCCACCTTGCATCTGCCAGAATCCCATATGGCACCGGTTCGAGTCCTGGCTGCTTCACTTCCCATTCAGCTCCCTGTTTGTGACCTGGGAAAGCAGCCGGGATGAGCCAAAGTCATGGGATCCTGCATCCAAGTGGAAGACCCAGAGCAAGTTCCTGGCTCCTGGCTTTGGATGGGCTCAGCTCCAGCCATTGCAGCCACGTCAGGAGTGAATCAGCAGGCAGAAGATCTTTCTCTCTGTCTCTCTTTTTCTCTCTGTAAATCTGCCTTTCCAATAAAATAAATCTTAAAAAAGAAAGATTATCCCGCTACGCCACCGGGGCCGCTCTGAGATTCTCTCCTTTTCTGCTCGGCTCTCCCGGCTCTTTGTCTTTGCCTTTCAGAGAAATCAAATAAATTAATATTTTCAGAAGGAGGAAGTGGTCAGATAGAATGGGGAACCAAGAATGGGACCTATTTCCGAGGAGGCAGGCTCCTGAGAGAGGGTCCGCCCGTCCGGCTTTTCCCAGGCTGTTGGCACCTTTGGTGCCCCATGCAAGCTCTGGTCCCTCTTCCCTCTCTCTGTCCCTGGACATCAGCCCTGCGCCTGCCCAACCCTGGGCAGGGGGGAGGATGCCAGGGTGCAAGCAGGCATCATCCGCTTCTGCTGACTGCAATGGCAACCACCTGCAGTTGCCACTGAAGCTCGCTCCTCCCTGTGCTGCCCGACCCAGGCGTCCCCGGCCCCCGGCCCCGGGGAGTGTGATGGGGTCGGCTCCGGGGGCTAGGCCAGAGCAACACAGGACACAGGCAAGCCAGCAAGGTAACCATTAACCACTCACCGAGTCTACAGCCATCCTGATCGTATCAGCAACATCAGGTAAGGCGAGGCATGCGGCCGTTCAAGATGACCTGTGAGAAAGAATGACAAGATTGTAATCATTCCGGGCGAAAGTTCCTTGCACTGGAGCGAGCTGCAGCTTCCCCCTCGACCTCACCCCGTTTCCCAGCTCTCGGCATACCTAAGACCTTGGCAGTAAAAGGACACTTCAAAACACTGGCGGAAGAGGCAATTAAAACGTTGGTTTATTTAAGTGCAAGTTATTTTCGAAAGCCCTGCACAGGCATTTGCCTCGTTTTGTGTCATAACACACATCTCCATACGCTTGCTCAAGTCCCTACAGCCACATGTATTGCACCAGGAATTTATAGCAGACATCCCAAGGAATCCAGACTTGCCCGGGGGTGGGAGAGGGGGTTCAGTTTTAACTGCTGTGACAAGGAGAGCCTAGTCTTGAAGTCCACCACCTGGGAAGGGCTGCCCATCCCACACCTCCCCTACCCCAAGCTCAGGCCTGCAAGTGCTGTGCCCCAAATAGGCTCTCCCTGGGACGCTACGACTTCCTTCACAGGGACCAGACCCAGCGCCAGGGAGCCTGTCAGCCCACCAGGTTCAGCACAGGTCAGGCTCCGGCAGCACCTCTTCCTAGACAGCTAACCGAACCTTCCAGAAGTCCCAGTCTCAACCACCAACACCATTCAGTTGATGACTTATTCAGGGAGGGTGTGAAATGAGCAAAGGCAGTGGATGCTGGTCCCTGTAGAACCTGGGCAGGTGTGTGTGCCGCACTACCACCCCGCACGTCGCCTACGGCCTCATAGCAGACGGGTCCCTCTGGATTTTCCAGTGTTATTCTTTTTTTAAAGATTTATTTCTTTTTATTGGAAAGGCGGATTTACAGAGAAAAGGAGACACACAGAAAGATCTTCCGCCCTCTGGTTCACTCCCCAAATAACCACAGTGGCAGAAGCTGAGCCGATCTGAAGCCAGAAACTTCTTCTGGGTCTCCCATGAGAGTGCAGGGCACCAAGGACTTGGTCCACCCTCCACTGCTTTCCCAGGCCACTAGCAGCGGCCTGGAACAGAAGTGGGATCAGCCAGGACATGAACCGATGCCCATGTGAGATGCCAGCACTGCAGGTGGAAGATAAGCCTGTTGAGCAAATGTGCCAGTCCCTTGGCTTTGGGACCGTCTAGCCCCTCTATTTACTCATCAACTCCAGTTCAAGGTCATGGTCTTGGATAGTCTGTTTAGAACTTTTTTATCTCGATCATCCTCAGAGCTTTTCTCTGGCTCCCTGATGGACTTGAACAGGATTTGAACAGAGGGTCTTGGACTCACCTAATCACAGACCCAAGAACAAGGAGGGAGAGGAGCCTGGGGTGTGGCGGATGTCAGCACTGGACAGATCAGGGCCTCGCTATCCGTCATCTGTCCAACTTGGCCTGCAGGGGGTGCCAAGTGGCAGCCAGCAGCACAGCACGGCACGGCACTGAGGCTCATGACGCCCACAACTGGACCCAGTGGCCGTGACCCAGGCTCCTGGTGCAGTGCTGTCTCCCCCTCCGCAGGTGTAACCACCACAGGAGCACTGGGAGCAGAAAACCAATCGTTGCAGACTACATATCCCCTCCTGCCATTCTGGGAACTTGAGTTACATAAAAGTCATTCCAAAGCTGAGGAATGTTTAACCAGCTAGCGGCTGAGGGAGAAGGGGCCAGTGCCCGTTCGCATTTCATCCACGTCCCCAAGCCGCCACGCGAGTCCACCAGCTCCCGAGGCTGGCCACGTCTCCAGCTCCTCAACAAAGCCAGTGCAGAAGCATTCAACACACTGACTCACAAAGCCAACAACCAGCTCGGGGTCCACCTGTGAGCCGCACTGGTCACTCTGGGACGCCTCGCCGAGCAGGCCTCAAGGCCTCACCAGGACACTTGTTTGCGCTTCGTGGATGGTCGGACAGACAGAAGAACCAAGGCATGCAGTTTCGCGGTTTGGGGCAGCAGGTGTTTGGCTTCCAACATGTCTCTAGCATCCCACACAAGAGCACCCGGGGTCCAGTCCGAGGCAGACCCCGGCTTCCTGCTGGTGTGCACCCTGTGAGTCGCAGCGAGGCTTTGGGTCCTGGCACCCCAGTGCAGACCCAGATGGAGTTCCTGGCCCAGCCGCCCCCGTTGCAGGCATTTGGGGAGTGAAACAGAAGAGAGTAGACCCACACGATAAATCCTGCACGCCTGCGTCATTAGCGGAGGGACACTGGTACCGTCCCCGTCAGGTGCACGGCCTCAGGCCAAGGCTCTTGCCCCTTGGAGCGCCTCTGCCCGCGGCGGCTGCTCCCACCCGCTGCCCTGGCCACCTCACCCAACACGGGTTGCACTGGAGTTTCAGGAAATGAACATTCTATCCTGCTTGGCAGCTTTCCCGGGTGCGGAGTCGTCTGAAAGGAAGGATGAATCAACGCTCAGAACCCACACTCGCTGCGCAGTCAAGATCCCTGGGCCGAGACAGGAAAGGGAGGAAGGCAGGGAGCCCGAGCAATGCCTGGACACTCCTATCTCATCCAGCCGTCCCAGGGCCCACAAAGAGCAGCCGCAAGTCCCCGAGGGCCCGGGACCGGCCGGTGGGCACTCTGGGAGAGAATTCAAGTCATGCGAGATCTTCTGCAGGCACAGAAAGCGGGAGGAGGAGGGGTCCCTGAGGCCTCAGATGCGAAGGCAGACATGTCCAGGAAGACGCAGGAAGTCACACTCCTACGCAAAATGGCCACTGCCACAGCTGCCCAAGATAATGGACAGTACCAGCCGGCTTCTGCATGGACAGGAGGTGGCGCAACTAGGTAACATTCCCTCTCGTCACTTCTCTGCACCCGAGGCATCATCCTTCCAGGGACAAACAGCAAAGGCGGCTGACACGATGAACCCCTCCTGGGTGGCAGCCGGCTCCTCCCTTGGCAGTGCAGCCAGCCTCGCCTGCCTGGATGATGCCATGCTCAGTACCTGGCTGCCCATGGCCTGGCACTGTGCCATCGTGCCACCGTGGGACAGAAGTGCAGCCCAGCACACAGCGAGGTCATCGCAGATGCATTTGCGTTTCTCTTCCCATTGCCCTTCGCCTCCAGGGATCTCGGAATCCGGCTGCTTACGGAGTGACTTGACGGGTCAAACCACCACCTGCGGCGGCCCCAGCACGCCACACGAGCAAGGGAAGCTGGCAGTTAGAAGCCTGGGGCCCAAGCACCTGCACTAAGCATCTCGCAGCCAGGGGCCTGAGGAAGACTGCTGCCACCACCAGAGGGTTCTCCCCAGAGGGACTGACACCTCCCAGGAGGCCCTGCCCGCCTCGCCCCAGTTCCTTCTGCTTGAATGCCTCATTGTCCCAAGCAGGACAAACTTTTCAGGGCAGGAGTTGGGTTGATCCTCTTCTTTAAAAAAAAAAAAATCACACAAAACTGCTTAAATTTTTTGAGTTCCAAAGACCAGGCAGGAGTCAGATGAAATCAGAGAGGGACAAGAGGCCAGCTGGCTTCAGCCTGGGCCAGCGCCAGCTGTTACATTCAGGAAACGAACCAGCCAGTGGAAGCTATCTCTTTAGCCTTTTAAAAATATTTAAAATAAAAATTAACAACAACAACAAAGCTTGATTCACGAGGGGAGACCATTTCTCCAGCACATTATAGAGCCAGGTCTTGGCAGAGAGCCCAGATACAATGGCCTCTCAGCCACACACACCCGACCATCAGCAACGTCTCTACGGCAAAGTCACTGCACTGAGAACCTGACAGAATGAACCCCTAGGGAAGCCCTAGAAGACACGGGCCTCCCACGTCCCAAAGTCGCATCTGGGGCCACCCCAGGGGCTTGCATGCCCATCGGGTCACCCTGGGCAACGGGTCAGGAGGACCCCTTGGAAGGAAGGTGACACTGGGGCTCTGCCAGTTCCAGCCTCAGCTGGGAGACAGTCTGCTAGGTCAACCCTCTGCTTGCCCCCAAGGACGACTCACGCTGGGAAGTGCCCACCTGCTCCCAGGGGATGCCCTTCCAATGAAAGTCCTCACCACACACAACGCAAGGCACACCTTCACACCCCGCCCCCGGTGGAAGCAGCCCACTCCACACAGCTTCCCCACGTCCCAGGCCCTCTCCTGGCCACCACCCAGTGCCTACGCAAAGCCAGGTGCCAGGCTCTGTTCTCTTCCCGACCCCCACAGAGCTGGCTGTTTGTGTGACTGAGCTCCCGCCCTCTTTAGTAGGAGTCCCACGGGGGTTCTCCAAAGTCAACCTTTAGGGACAGTCCGCACAAGCTGGTCCACCCGTCCCCCAGCCCAGGTCCTAGGTCTAACCGGTCCTGGCTGGCCTCACACTGGGGGGGCCCTGGCAGGAGCCAGGGCTGGAAGAGGCTAAAGAGCCAAAGACACAGGAACACAGCGGGAGAGGCAGAGGGGGAGGGCGGTGCTCTGGCTCTGGAGGGCTTCTCCACACCCCCCTCCCCAACCTGTCCCTGACTCTGGTGACCAACACGGGCCAGCCACATAGTTGCCCAATCACCTGCTCCTTCCACTCAGTGCCCAAGGCTGAGGCCTGACCCGTGGTTCCCAAAGTTTCCTACCAAGCTTAGAAAACAAGACCAGATTCCTGGATCCCATTCTGGGAGCCAGGGACCAGGACCCCATCACTGCCCTGGGGTCCCACTCCAGGTCAGGAGTCACCAACCCAGACTCCAGGCTGCCACTTCCGGGTGCCTCTTCCCTCCTGACGCTGGGTGCAGAGTGGGGCAGGCATGGTGAGATGGGGACAGCCCCCTGCACTGGGTGTGTGCCCGGAGCCTCTGCCACTGGGGTCAGCTCCACATGGAACTGAGCAGAGGAGACTAGGAGCCACAGCCTGGGTCCTGTCCTTCTGAGTGATGGGACCTGGGGCAGCACCTCCCTGCCTCAGTTTCCCCATCATCAAATCAGCTGCATCAACAAGGGCTGGCCTGGATGCCAGGTGGAAGGAGAGAGGGAGGGAGGAGAAGAAAAGGAGAGGAGGAAGGAGAGCGAGGAGGGAAGGGGGAGGAGGGGATTTCAGGAGGGGAGAAAGGAGGGAGGGGATGGGGAGGAAAGAGGGGCGGAGAAGGAAGGGGAGAGGAGGGGAGAGGGCAGGGCAGGAGAGAGGGAGGGCAGAGGGAGAGGAGAGGAGGGAGGGAGGCGGGAAGGGCGAGTGCAGAGGTGAGGAGAGCTGGCCACTTTACCTTCAAAGGCTGTAATACCAAGGTGGACAAGAAACCGCGTCAATCAAGGTGACCTGAGCTCAGGGGTGGGGCTGCGGGGTGCCAGGCACTCGTCAGCAGCCGACTCTAGGGTCCCCATGGGGTTCAGTGCAGTCCCAGGCCAGTCACCCTGAGTGTGCTGTGGCCACCAGGGAAGCTGCCCGGCTTCCAGGCTGGCATTCCTGGACCCAGAGCAGCAGCTTCCAGCAGCCCAGTGTCCTGCACCTGGTGTCAGAGAGGTCCACCCTCACCGCCCGGTCCCCAGCAGCCCGAGGGGTAGAGAAGAGGCAATAGGCAGGGCCCGAGGAGGAGCTTCGGACCACCACCCGTTCCTGCGCGCCACCCCTGCCCGGCCAGTCGGCCAGCCCTTCCCGTCGCCTGGAGGCAGACCCTACCTGCACGCCTACCCAGGGTCCCCAGGTGGCCTGAATGAGCTCCCAACCCCCTCCTGGCCGGCAGGGAAGATTGGCGCCATCCTCACTTCCTGGAAAATCTTCCCAGACCTCCCCGCTGGATCAACAATCCTCGACTCACTTTTAAGCTTTCCAAGCACCTTGAGAATAGGGTTTGGGGCCCTCGTAATTTTCCACCACTGGGGCGGTTTCACCAGCCGAGTGCTAACAAACACCTCCCCGAGCTGCGCTGTCATTTTAGCCCCGAGATTCCTGCGCCTTGGCGTCGGCGCGGCTCTCCGGAGCCTGCCCACCCGGCCCTCCTCCTGTTCCCTGCGCTCCTTTCCCTCGCAAACAAGCCGCCCAGACCCTTCCCCGCGCAGGCCCGCCCCTCCGCCTTCGCAGCCCCCAGGAACCTGGGCCGGCCCCCGCACCCTGCCCCGGAGCAGCGCACCTGCGCTCCCCCTCCACCGCGCCCGCCCTGGGCTCCTGGCACGCAGACGCCGGCACGAGCCAGCAGCGCCGGTGGCCACCAGCACCCTCGGTCCCTGGGGCAGGAACGCAAGCACTCCCGGACCAGCCGGAGAGTGCCTCTCCAGCTGGGCCCCTGGGGCCTCGGACAGGAAGCTCGCCGCCCGGCCACCCGCGGACGGAATGCGGAGCCCGAGGAGCCGGCGTTCTCCCGCACGGAGCGCACGCCGCGGGAAATCACTGCGGCCCCTCCCGCCGCGCCCAGGCTGCGGGACCCCCTATCAGAGCCTCCCCGAGGCTGCGGGGCCATTCCGCGCCCGGTCGGGTCGCTTGCGGAGCCTGGCCCCGCGGTCCCCGCCGCGCCGGCCGTATCGTTCCCGACATCTGAGCGAGTTTCCAGTTTCTCCCGCCCGCGGCCGGGAACCCGGGAGCAACGGAGTTCAGGTAACAGCCGGGCTTGCAGAGGTTTCCCCGAAACAAAGAAACGGACCACGAACCCTGCCGCTCCGCGTCTAATACTCGAACCCCCGGTGGCAGCCACTCTCCGGTCAGGCGACTCCACCCGCAGGACCACCTGCTCAGCCGTGCGAAGCCAACGAGGGTGTCTGGGGGTGCCAGCCGCGCGCCAAGGGGTCCGAAGCGCCCCGCACGCTCCAAACCACCGCGGGCGAACGCACCTGCGGTCGTCCCAGGGCTCACAGCTGACCCCGACCCCACCCAACACGGGGGCGGGGAACTCGGGTCTTTTCCTACCCGGGGTGAAGGCGCAGGGTCTCCTCACAAACTCATAGCCGCACCTGGGGCGGGGGGGAGCCCTAGCACAGCGCGCCACTTACCTGCAACTCTCCTGGCCGGCGCTCCCCGCCCCTTGCCCTTCCTTCTCTGCCTCCTCGGGAGCTCGCGTCTTCCTTTGCTCCGGGTCGGGCCGGGTTCCCGGCCTTCCCCTGCAGTTGCTTTAATCTCAGGAGGCGGCGTCCGCTGGCTCCGGGAGACACCCCCAAGCACGGGTCCCCGGTCACCTGCGGCAGGGGGAAGGGAATGGCCTGGGTCGGGCCGTGCCCGGGGCGGAGGCGGCGGGAGGAGGAGTCTCCCCTAGGGAAAGCCCGGGACGCGCTCCTGCCCGCGCCCGGCGCAGCGCGCTGCAACCCCGAAGGGCTTCCGGCCCCAAGCACGGACCGGCTGCGTCCCGGCCCCAAACACGGACGGGTCGCACCCCTGCTCCGCGGGCGGGAGGAGCGTGGGTCCCCGGTCCCCACGCCCCCGCATACCTGATTGGATGTAAAGAGGAAGGACGACAGTTGAGGCCCATAGGAGTTTCAGGAGGCACGGTGGCCGACCTGCTGTGGCCTGGGCAGAAGACCCAAGAGGCGCCCTGGCAGCAGCGTGGAGGACGCAGCTCCAGGCACCAAGGACCCCCCGCCATGGCCCGGGCCAGCTTCCTCCGTCCTTGGGGCCAAAGTCCTTTGGCCTCCTTCCACATCCGGGTTGAAAGGGCTCCGGGCAGCCTGCAGGTAGCCCAGGAGGGAGTGGGGGGGCACCCTGTGGTCAGGGGCCCTTTGCCATGTCTTCTTATGCAGGCTCAGAGCACGTACACACCCTGAAGTCTGGCTCTGGGACCTAGGCCTGTGCCAGTACAGGGCGCCCCATGCCCTGCCTGAGGCTCTGCAGGCTCGTGGGGACAGACTGCACCCACAAAACAAACTGCAACGGGAGTGAGCAGCTCCTGGTTGCTTCCACCCCCTCAACTCCTTCCCCACCTTGAATTTGCTTCCCAGCCCTGCAGAGTCCCCAGTCCTCGACCCCCCGCGCCATTCGCTCTGATGCTTCAGGGAGCTTCCCAAGTTGGTGGAAATGCAACTTCAAAATCTGCTCCTTTGGGTGTGAAGCACCTGGAGACCAAGCCTCACTGTGCCTCATTTCTGTCGCCGCCCACGTGTCCCAGGGACTTTCCCAGCCTGGAATCCCTGGCCTTGGCTTTGAGGCTCCGGGTTCTGCAGGAGTCCCTGCAAGGCCAATGCTATTCCCCCCTGGCGGCTGCCGTATTGATCTGATTCTCACATGAGCGCATACCCTGGAAGCCAGGGAGGGCGGGCATCTCCTTCCCTTGCCCGGTGGGCCAGCTGACAGGCTCTGCTTTCAGACCAGATGGAAGAGGGAGCAAGCCTGGACCCCCAGGTCACCCCAACCCCACCTTCTCTCCCCCAGCAGCCTCGCCCCTCGCCTGTGCCTGGGTCACTCTCCCTCTGCGCTCAGCGGCCACGGGGACCCAGGCATGCTCCGCCTGGCCTGTGTCCTGAACTCTGCTGCCGTCCTCCCTGGGGAGCACCTCAGGGCGGCTCTCCACCGCGGGTCAGGTGCCACTGCGGGGGCGGCTCTCTCCCGTTTGGTGGGCGTGCTTGGTGCCTGTGGCCAGGGGCCAGGATGTCCACACACAGTGTGCCGCGTGACTCTGTCCGTATAACCTGCCCAACACCCAGCGTTGCTCCCACGTCAGTGGTCAGCGTCGTCCAGGGAGACAGAGCCCACGGGGGTAGACACAGGCACGGATGACAGGCAGGTGGCACTGGGCGCATGTGCCCGTGAGACGTGCTGGTGCAGGTCCTTCGAGGCCCAGTGCTCCTCTGTCTGAGCTTCCAGGAGTCTCTGGGTGGAGGCCTGCCAGCTGGGGCATCCCTGGCATGAGGGGTGGAGCCCACCCCCGTGGGGAGCACAGAGGGCAGAGAGGAAGGATGGCCAAGGGAGTCTGGGGGCTCCCTTGCTGGGGCAGAGGGTGTGCTTCACCCCACTCCGTGAGTCGGAAGGCCTGCCTGGGGCAGAAGCCCCTCACAGGTGCCCCCATAGGTCATGCTCAGCCTGTTGTCAGGGCATCCTGGCCCAGCTCAGTCAGCAGGAAGCATCTGATTCCCCAGGTCCTGGAGGGGCCCCCTGACCAGGCCCCCAGCTGTCCCTGGCGGGGCCACGTGGAGCAGCCAATCCCCTGCTGTGTCCGGCTGCTGCTTCGGGGCAGTGAGGAACAGGGTGAGGTCAGGCAGTCCGGCACAGTGGGTCCTGTCACCTCAGTGACTTCCGGGGCCAGCAGCGATGCCACAGGGAAGGCCGTGACACTGGGGTCCCCCGGGCCAGTTCCTGCAGAAACCGCCCTGCACCAGCAGGTCTGTGTCCTGAGCCAAGATCTGCTCCAGCAGGGACGGACGCTGCCTCTGCCTTGATGGGCGGTCAGGATCCAGCGTCACCCCTGGGCCCCCCGGGCTCCGATGGCCCTGTGGCTCCCCGCTGCTGGCTCCTTGGACACTCCCGGGGGACCACGGCCAGCCTAGCTGTGGAGAGTCACCTGGGCTGTCACTGAGACCATTTCATTCCTGAGCCCTTAGGGAGATGACAGCAAGAGCTGAGTGGTGTCCACAGCAGGGTCATCCCGTCCCTCCCTCCTGGTGGCTAACGCCCCGCTGCTGAGGTCGCCCTTGGAGGGCCGTCCCCAGGACACGGGTGGCTGCTCGGCTCCTGCTCGTTCTAAGGTCTCTCCGTCCACGTGCTTCTCTTCCCCGTACTGTTCTGTCACTGATTTCCCAATCCAGGTTCCTCAAGATCAGCCGCACATCATAGGCCCCAGCTGAAGGGTCGGCGCGTCATCACGTGTGGCCACGCGTCCTTCTGGTGGAGTGGGCCACCTTTGGGCTGCCTGACGTCCTGCCCTTCCTTGCTGTCCGCTGGACCTGGTGTCCAGACACTGAGCAACTCCGTCTGTAAGCCAGGGCGTCTTCCGCATCCGCTGATGGCAGAAAATGCCCCTCTCCCACGATGCCAGGCTGGGACGCCAGTGGCAGGACCCTGCAGCTCCTAGATGTGTCGGTCCCAGTAATGCACATAGCTTGTGTTAGGGAGCCCACTGGGTGCAGGGGAGCTGAAGCTCCAGCGGTCACGCGGATGCTCTGGCTCTCCTGGTCTTAGTGTCAAGGCAAGGCAAGGCTCTGTGAATTCCCCAGCATAATGATCTCCATTTCCCTGGGCAGTAAGCTGTAGGTCTGGGTGAGGAAGGGGTAGCTGGTCCTGGCGCCCCTGAGACCCAGCTGTCCCTGTCACATTAGAGGGTCACTGTTGGGTGCATTTTTCACTGTAGCGTCTCCCTAAGAGCCAGGGGGATGCCATGGTCCTCCAAGACTGGGTTCTTGCTGGCTGTGGTTTGCCTGCGTGTCCTGAATATCACACATTGGGAACTTAGTCCTCTAGGCAGCAGGGCTGAGAGGTGAGACTTCTAAGAGGCCTTTGGTGGCAGTGACCTTGACCCTGCCCATGCACTTCCTGCCCTGGCCCTTGTACTTCCTGCTGTGCATGAAGAAACAAGAAGACCCTGACCACCTGTGAGCTCAGGCCTCCTCGACCGGCCAGCCTGCGGAACCGTGTGGCATGGCCTTGGTCGGCTGGTCCAATGCCACAATATACACCAAGACTTCCTTGGTCTAAAGAAGCTTCTAGAACCCATTTTGCTTGTGTTCCAAGGAGGAAGCGAGTAGTCCCAGGAACCACAGGCAGCCGCCTTCCCCTCACCAGGGAACTATGGCCCGCATGAGAGGAGTTCCCCAGGAAAAGCTGCAGCAAGGGGCTGCTGGGACACCAAGCTCCTCCCATCTCACTGAGTCACTGAGCCAAAGCAGCTCTGAAGGCAAGCCCACATCCCCACTGAGGCGCCAGCATCCCACGGGACGGCTGCTCCACTTCCCGTCCAGCTCCCTACTAATGTGCCTGGGAAAACAGTGGAGGATGGCCCAAGCACTTGAGCTCCTGTCCCCATGTGAGAGACCTGGAGAAAGCTCTAGATCATGGCTTCGAACAGGCCCAGTTCTGGCCGTTGTGACCATTTGGGGAGAGCTAACAGCCACAAAATCTCTCTCCCTCTGACTATCAAATAACTAAATCTTTAAATACATGGCTATTTGTATGTAACATCACATAGGTTGAATCACAAAAAAAAAAAAAAAAAAAACCACTGCAATCGGGCCCGGCAGCGTGGCCTAGTGGCTAAAGTCCTCGCCTTGAACGTGCCAGGATCCCATATCGGCACCGGTTCTAATCCCTACAGCCCTGCTTCCCATCCAGCTCCCTGCTTGTGTCCTGGGAAAGCAGTCGAAGACGGCCCAAAGCCTTGGGACCCTGCACCCACATGTGAGACCTGGAAGAGGCTCCTGGCTCCTGGCTTTGGATGGGCACAGCACTGGCCATTGTGGTCACTTGGGGAGTGAATCATCAGACGGAAGATCCTCTCTGTCTCTCCTCTCTGTATATCTCACTTTGCAATACAAATAAAATAAATCTTTAAAAAAAAAAGTGCAATCATCTTATGCACTCGATTGGCTAAAAAAAAGTTGCCCGATACCATGTGTAGCATGCTGGAGGAGGGAGAGTGGATGGGGTGCCAGCTGGAGCAGCCGCCTGGAGAGCTGTGGTGACGGGCAGTGACGCTGAGGGCCGTCCCTATCCACACCCGAACATTCCACGGCCCGAGGAGGCACTGCCCCCTTCTGAGACCAGAAGCTGCCCAAACGCCTCCCTGTATGGCCACAGTATGCCATGGGCAGGGTGGCAGTGAGCCGGGGGCCCTGGCAGCATGCTGGCGTCCGTGATCTGTCCCCAACCCAGGTCCTCAAGATACAAGCGCCGTTGTACTCCCCCCCGCCCCGTTGCCTTTGGTACATTGCACGTCTGATCTGTACGCACGGGGGTGTCATGATTAAAGATGACGTGTGTGTGATCCCTGACGTCGGTGACTTGGACACGTGCAGGTCTGGGAAGCAGTGGGGACATGGCTGGGGACACGGTCAGTTCACCCGGCCCCGGTCAGAGCCCCAGCTCTGCTCTCTCTCCAGCTGCCCGCTCAGGTGTACCCTG